TTAACAAGGTGCGCGTCCCTTCTTAGAAATCCTTAACAAGATGCGTGTCCCTTCTTAGAAATCCTAAACAAGATGCGTGTCCCTTCTTAGAAATCCTTAACAAGGTGCGCGTCCCTTCTTAGAAATCCTTATCAAGATGCGTGTCCCTTCTTAAAAATCCTTAACAAGATGCGTGTCCCTTCTTAGTAATCCTTAACAAGGAGCGTGTCCCTTCTTAGAAATCCTTAACAAGATGCGTGTCCCTTCTTAGAAATCCTTAACAAGGTGCGTGTCGTTTCTTAGTAATCCTTAACAAGGTGTGTGCTCCTTCTTAGTAGTCCTTAACAAGATGCCTGTCCCTTCTTAGTAATCCTTAACAAGGAGCGTGTCCCTTCTTAGAAATCCTTAACAAGATGCGTGTCCCTTCTAAGAAATCCTTAACAAGGTGCGTGTCCCTTCTTAGAAATCCTTAACAAGATGCGCGTCCCTTCTTAGAAATCCTTAACAAGATGCGTGTCCCTTCTTAGAAATCCTTAACAAGGTGCGCGTCCCTTCTTAGAAATCCTTAACAAGATGCGTGTCCTTTCTTAGAAATCCTAAACAAGATGCGTGTCCCTTCTTAGAAATCCTTAACAAGATGCGTGTCCCTTCTTAGAAATCCTTAACAAGATGCATGTCCCTTCTTAGAAATCCTAAACAAGATGCGTGTCCCTTCTTAGAAATCCTTAACAAGATGCGTGTCCCTTCTTAGAAATCCTTAACAAGATGCATGTCCCTTCTTAGAAATCCTAAACAAGATGCGTGTCCCTTCTTAGAAATCCTTAACAAGATGCGTGTCCCTTCTTAGAAATCCTTAACAAGGTGCGCGTCCCTTCTTAGAAATCCTTAACAAGATGCGTGTCCCTTCTTAGAAATCCTTAACAAGGTGCGTGTCCCTTCGTAGTAATCCTTAACAAGATGCGTGTCTCTTCGTAGAAATCCTTAACAAGGTGCGCGTCCTTTCGTAGAAATCCTTAACATGGTGCGTGTCTCTTCTTAGAAATCCTTAACAAGGTGCGCGTCCCTTCTTCGAAATCCTTAACAAGATGCGTGATGTAATGAGGGGCGGTGGGGTAGCCTAATGGTTAAAGCGTTGGCTCGTCACGCCGAAGACCCGGGTTCGAATCCCCACATGGGTACAATGTGTGAAGCCCATTTCTGGTGTCCCCCGCCGTGATGTTGCTGGAATATTGCTGCGGCGTAAAAGCAAACTCAGTCAGTCATTCAGTCAGTCTTAGTAATGATGAAAAATATGCAATGACATATTGATACAAACTGTTTAAATCAAATTTCCAGCTTTGTCATTGTTACCCATGTTTTTGCTATCAGTAAAAATTACGACCGCACACCTGCTGCTATCACGTGATGTTGTTGCTAGGACACCTTGTCCCTTGTATCCGTGTCATTTTTACATGTTTTCATTAGGAATAATAACCTTGGTTATTAAATACCTCGGCAGCTGTCACAGTGTTGATTAAAAAATAAACTGTATAATAAATGTCGCTTTTGAGCACGATTTGTTCAGCACACCATTGTTACAGAGATGTGAGTGAGTGAGTGAGTTGCACTACACAGCGTGTGATATGTATGAAGCGAGGTGCGGTGGGGTAGCCTAGTGGTTAAAGCGTTGGCTCGTCACGCCGAAGACCCGGGTTCGAATCCCCACATCGGTACAATGTGTGCAGCCCATTTCTGGTGTCCCTCGCCGTGATGTTGCTGGAATGTTGCTAAAAGCGGCGTAAAACCCAACTCACTCACTCTATCTGCAGAGACCCATGAAGGCCCGGGTTAGAATATTGGCCTTCAGTAACCTATGGTTGTCGTAAGAGGCGACTAACGGGATCAGGTGGTCAGGCTCGCTGACTTGGTTGACACATGTCATCGGTTCACAATTGCGCAGATCGATGTTCATGTTGTTGATCACTGGATTGTCTGGTCCAGACTCGAGTATGTACAAACCGCCGCCATATAGCTGGAATATTGCTGAGTGCGGTTTAAAACTAAACTCACTCACTCTATCTGCAGAGTTCTCACAGCGGCTTTTGCTTGAACAAGTTACTGTATGGTAAATTACCTAATACCTGGGCTTCAATGAGCGCGCAGCCTGTAAACGGACAATCTGCTGACATGATTACCCATTCAATATTACTCAGGTGGTTTTGATGGATAATTTATTCTCACTGGGATCAGGTTTGGATCAATTTCGACATTACATGAAAGTGATTGTTGATGCGCATAATACTGCATATCGCTCAGGCAGGTTTCTCGCTAGCCTTGTAATGATTGCCCTTAATCTTCGTTAATTGTCATTAATCTTCGTTAACATTGGTTAGTTATGGCTAAAAGATGCTCATGGCACGGTGCGAAAACAATAATTATAAAACTCTTCCTTTCTCCATATTGACTCCAGACAAGATCGTATTTATCGCAAAACGTGCCCTGAACATGCATTACGCCACAAGCGTTGATGGACCAGATCGTGTATAATATAATATTCCCCGCCAGCTCAGAACTTGATTCCTTGGTGCTTATGCTGTTTTGTCCGAGGTGTTGGAGATTACTTCACAGGTACAGTGCTGTTAACCCGGACATTGTTAGTCCAGATCACGCATGTCAACAATCCCGCGATGACGTTTTTTCCTCAAGTAGCGTGGGTCTAATAATAAGCACAAGAGTCGGTGGCAGAAAAGGGACCGACCATCGTGCTTACAGTCTTGTTACCTGGGTCACGTGGTATTACGTCACAGCGGTAACGCCAGACACGGGCCTCCCCAGTCGCGAATACTGTGGAATAGGCGCGATGCAACCTTTCTCGTTGGAGGAAGCGAGATCGCGAGTCTCGGTCTTCTTAGATATGGCTCTGACGTACCGTGTGCTATATTGTTAGGTGACATACTCTGGATTATTTGCCCTGTAAGGAATGGATTGTTCACAACAGCCGGAATTAATATTGCCGAGTAAGACAACACGAGCCGAACATGTGAATGTATCCATAAACCCCGTAACGTTGTATGTACAGTTGTCGACAGCAGGACTGTCTGGATATTCAGCTAACGAACTGGCAAGCCTGTAACCATGGTAACGAGTTGAGGGTTGACCCGCTGGCGGGAAGCCCTTGTATATAGATTAAACTCTATATGGGAACCGCCACGGAGAGGCGAGGATTTTATGTATGCTCCCAAAACTGTTTTTGGTGAAAACGTCAAGATTTATTTCATACTCTGATGTTTATGTAATTAGATACTATCTTTCAGCTTTTACGTATTAAATACAGTTTAATTTATTAATGAATGTATTTTGAAAACATGTAACTGTACGTTTATTGTAACTGGACACTTACTGTGAAAGTAACAGTGAGTGAGTATGGTTTTAGGCCGCCTTCAGTAATATTCCAGCAATATCGTGGCGGGGGACATCAGAAATGCGTTTCACATGTGTGGGGAATCGAAACCGGGCCTTTGGCGTGACGAGCGAACGCTTTAACCACTAGGCTACCAAATGTTTAAGAACAATTAAATTTTAGCTTCGTAGTTGTTTGTACCGATTAACGTTTCCTAGTGGTTGTTGTATAACCGTCATGTTTTCGTTGCGCCCCTTAGTGGTGCCAGGATTCGGTGATAATGACTTTAAGTTCCTATTTTAGAATGTGCTAGTGTTATCACCTTTCCTGTCATTGTTTCCATCAAATAGGTAAACATCAGACTGTCCTTCCACTTTGACACACCGTTATTTACCTGAATATTTTTAAAGTGGCGGTGAACTTAGATCACAAAAACAAGTTTTCAGACATGATATTCTCCCCAATATATCGCCAATACAACACGGACTTTCATCACTTCCTCCATCTCATGAGGGGGCGGTGGGGTAGCCTAGTGGTTAAAGCGTTCGCTTGTCATTCCGGAGACCCGGGTTCGATGCCCCCCACATGGGTACAATGTGTAGCCCATTTCTGGCTTCCCCCGCCGTGATATTGCTGGAATATTGCTAAAAGCGGCGTAAAACTAAACTCACTCACCATTTCATGTGGCACGATCTTCATGAGGCTTACATTGCATAGGATGTGAAGTTTGATCCCTTGTCCGCCATGTTCAGGATAAACTTACAGAATATGAGGTCTTGTGGATAAAGCGTCACCCCGTAGAACGGGAGGTCGGTGGTTCGAACCCGCCCACCCCCATCCAACCCTTACCCTACTCTACCCATTCCCTACTCCACCCCTACCCGCCGACACAACACGTGCAGGTACTTCACTGTACAAAAATCTTGTACATTGCAGCTCACCAGATAATAATACTGGAAATTTTATATAGCGCTAAATCCAACCACTAAGTGGGTGCTCGAAGCGCTACAAAATAATAATAATGTTTGAATAGAGTTAATAGTGCAGTGAAAAGAGATGCGTTTTAAGATGTGATTTGAACGCAGCAAAAGATGGGGACAGTTATAAGGCGAGGGGCAGTTCATTCCACAGCGATGGAGCACAACCACTGAAAGAACGCTTTCCATAAGAGGCCAGTCTATAAGAAGGAGTTTTCAAAAAGAATCTGCTTTCAGATCGCAAACTATATATACTCCCCATCAAAAGTTTAGACTCATTAGTGTAAATGTAACCATTTACTTAAGTCAACTGTTCTATAATAAATTTTGCATACTGTTGTAAGGTACTGTTTACTCATGAACTGATGTATTGTAAAACACGTTTGTAACGTTGAAAAGATTGTCATGAGTTGAATTCGTAACAAAATTTTACACCAAAACGCATCTGTTCACATGCATGATATTTGCACATGCTTTACAGCAATGTGATGCATGATCCTCGTGCAATTCATCTGCATAAGGTTTTCAGTTGTTTCCCCCAAGTTAGTGGAGAAATTCATCTTCGATGTAACCATAGGTATATACATACCATATAGTGAGTGCTTTAAGTGAGTCTAAACTTTTGATGGGTAGTATATAATTACATGAATTTCGTGATGTTTCAGATGGTATGCCGGAGAAACAGACGTCTATTGTTCTGGACATCCGCAGTCTTGTGTGTGTTTCTAATATGGAGCACGCTCACAAACGTCTTCAGAGCAAACAGAAAAGTCAAAGCGTCCCAGACGACTTGCCTCGTATTCAAGTATGGTTTCTTCGATTTCAAGGTTCGAAAATGACACATCATCGCTTCTTGTATGGCCAAACGGCGAGGACAACCACCCATATTTCCTGTCCCCTGTGTTGCAGTTCCCAAATGACAAATTTCGCCAGAAGACACGTTATAATCTCACGGGCGTTGAAAAAATATTCACACAAAATAAGACAGACGAGAAACTGATCATTATATACAACATGCCTTCATGGCATACGTTTGAGACGAGGTACAAGGACAGTTTGGAGAACTGCCGATTGCAAAATTGTAGATTATCAGGTGACCATAAACTTCTCCCTCAAGCCGATGCTGTCGTCTTTTATGTCCTGTCGATTGATAATGATACTCCACCACCAAAACCAGCCAATCAGATGTGGATATTTTTTGCACACGAGGCTCCATGGGACTTCAATAGATGGAATGATCGGTTTAATTGGACGATGACGTTCAGATATGACTCCGATATTGTATGCCCGTATTTCGTGCTCCTGCCTAAACCAACAGCGGATGTTCGAGATTTTCAGTCGATCACTGAGAAGAAAAGTAAACCCGTCATGTGGTTGGTAAGTCATTGCAATGCTCGGTCAAAACGCGACGACTACGTGAAAAAACTCCAGCAATTCATCAGCGTTGATATATATGGTGGATGTGGACCCCTCAAGTGTGGAAACTCCGGACCTAACAGCTGTAATAATCTACAACAAACGACATACAAGTTTTATTTGGCGCTTGAGAATTCACTGTGTCGAGGCTACCTGACAGAAAAGGTGTTTAGGAGCTACAGTTTGGATATTATCCCCGTGGTTAGGGGTGGGGCCAGCTATGGAAACCTTCTTCCTAAGGGCACGTACATCGACACAGCCGATTTTTCATCTCCAGAGAAACTTGCCGATCATTTGAAATATTTAGATTCCAATAATACGGCATATGCTGAAATATTGAGGCGGAAATCACAGTATACTATCACAGATCCGAAGTCAACATTAGATTCATCGTTGTGTGATATTTGTGTGAAACTTCATGATTTAGAGAGATTCGGAAATACTTACCATGATGTGAATAAATGGTGGAACACTGATAGCTGTTCCAGTGCCACGGATTTCTGAAGTGAAGATGGACTGACCTGCACACCATGGACGCCTTAACATTCACGATGTATTCAGTTGAAATGATGTGGACGTTTCATTTGAGATGGAAGATTTTGCACGACTACAAGGACTGGATCATCGGCAAACTGTGGACGTTATATTGAATCGTCTCACCATGCAACGATGTGTATTGTTGCGAAGACTCGTTCCACTACAAGATATGGACATTTGTGGTCAGTTGACCATGTAACTGTGTGTATTGTTGTTACGAAGACTCGTTCCACTACAAGATATGAGACGTGGGGTCAGCTGACCATGAAGCTGTGTGTATTGTTAGTGAGACTCGTTCCACTTCAAGTGTCTGTTATGGAGCATATTATATTTCTTTTCTCGTACACTTAATCAACATTGTAAAGTATGTTGTATATGTGTGTGCGTGCGTGCGTGCGTGCGTGCGTGTATGTGTGGCATTTCCAGTAGGATACGTACTGAAAGTCGGACCAGTAATTGATTCTCTTTCGTCTTTTATTGAATTTCCTCTTTCACAAGGCTCCCTTCATAGCACTGCTTAATTCCCTGATGTTCGTGTGGTTACAGTTATAATGTACTCAGTCCCCGTGTTTGTCAATTCGGTGCTATTCCCAATAACCCCCGGGATAAACAATTATAAACGTTAATGCAATACTAGTATGTGAAAGCCAGAGTGGGCCTTAAGAAGGTATATTTTTACCAAGATCTCAGATTGTTGTTGTGTTTGTCTGTCTGTCTGCTTGTCCTTTTGTATGTATCTTTGTAGGGCATGGTTCAATGTACCGAAAGGGTTTGTTGGCTATGTGTAATGAAATGAAAATATGTCTCCTGTGAACAGAAAGCTAGACACAGTGGTACTGGTATGCACGCTTTGGACACTTTAACAAACCAGAAGTCATTTATAAATAACTGTGCTTCCTCATATAAACAGTGGGCAATATTCAGGTTATATCACGGTAGTTTGTAGTTACCAAGGCAACAGAGTGGTTGATGGCATGATGAACCATTATTTAAGCAATTATATTTTACATTTTAGAACACGATACAGAAAAAAATAAGACTGAAAAAAATAATTACATTAATGAAACCTAATGTTTTATTGCTCTCTGTATATTTGCCTCCCTTAAAAAATAATTACATTAATGAAACCTAATGTTTTATTGCTCTCTGTATATTTGCCTCCCTTAGTCAGGATCCGATGACTGGCAGGTTGGATCCCACAATCGCACTCATTATGACCCTTGAACCATCAGTACCTACATTAATGAAGCCTTGTGTTTTATTGCTGTCTGTATATTTGCCTCCCTTACGAAGTCAGGATCCGATGACTGGCAGGTCGGATCCCACAATCGCACTGATTATGACCCTTGAACCATCAGTACCTTATCCATGTGTTTATCAAAATGAGAACTGTATCTTCAAACCACGTCATGAGTAATACCTTCCGAAAGAGAACATATGCAAAGGTTTGTTTTCTTAACTTTTCACATGTTATTAAAGAACGTTTCTCATGGTTATTTTCAGTTGAAATTGTTTTGTTGGGAAGAACATGGGAAGAACCATAAACTGTATATGACAAAATATAACATTTTCATGCTGTAGATGGCTATATGTTTCCACCATGTGAACTGCTGGGTTCCCATTGCTATCTTTTCACACATGCTTATTGAATAGCCAAAAGTGCTTATATAGCCCCAGTAACAGTACACTCCAGGTTAGGTCAACTATTATGCAATAGACTCGTTTAGAGTATGTAATTAGATCACCGGTTTAGGAAATGAAAATGTTTTTCCACAGACACATAAACCTCCGTTCCGTATGAAATTATGACATTTTAACTAAAGTCATCATGTCAAACTGGTTAAACGGCTGACACTCTCTCCCTTCATAACTTCACGCGCGCGTAAATTTCGTGAAATTTGTTCAAAATGTACACGTTTAAGAGTGTTAGGGTTGGGGTTTATTCAAACTGACCGCAGTATAGATCTTCCATATGTAAACCCCCAGACAGGCGCTATGTCATACCATACCGAAGTAACTATGGAAACGTTCCTATAGAAATGATGGCATAAAGGTTTTCATGTTGATACTTGGGGGTTACATAATCCTTTATAGCCCCACAAGCAAACCAGGGGAGGGGGTTAGTGGTAAAAGTGTTCGTTCGTTACGTTTGTTCGTTACCTGGGTTCGAATCCCCACATGGGTCCAATGTGTGAAGCCCATTTCTGATCTCCCCCCATGGTATTGCTAGAATATTGCTAAAGGCGGCGTAAAACTCAACTCACTCACTGCAACCAAACCTCCCCGTGCTCTACCACTACATGGTGTTGAAACAATGTGTAGCGCTGTATATGTAATATAGAATGGCAACTCGCACGTGCACGCTTCCAAATGAAAAGCGGTCTCTTATATCCTTATGGAAAGGATTGGTATTTAAAAAATCATATTTTTCGGATAGCCTCTTTGACCTCCCAAATGCCTGAGGGACACAGCACTCGGGAAGAATCCTCTGTATATGTCCCTCCTCTTCAATTCTCACTTTGAAGTCGAATAAAATTCATAATATGTCACGCACATAAATACACTTCACAGTTTTGAATTCTGCGGGAAAAGTCCTCTTCCTTGACCTTAGCCACTATCATCTTAGGCAAATCAATAGTGCTGAAAATGACCCCTGATAATTAGGTATATCTCAAATGTCGCATTAGACATTACGAAATCACAATTCACGACGTTATTTGTTTGGAAATGTAAAAATCGGATAATTACTCGGAAGATTGAGTTTACACAGTAGCATATAAGCGATCGCTGATTTCTGTTTTTTCACTAAATCACCAGCCAGAAAAACGCATCCCTGAATTTCTCATACATTTTGAATTGGCTTTGTCACCAGTACCAAGTGTCTAGATCAAACGAACGAACGAAATCAAACGAACTATAATTGATCGGGGCGTGAAAACGAACGCTGTGCTCGGAAGACTGAAATATAAACAGCGACAAATTCAGATTTTATATTGTGTATCATTTTCTCAATTTTTAAGACATCCATTCGTCTATTCGTTTCATACGTTGGCTCAATTGATGCAATCGTTCCGTTCCATATTTATTAGAATATGCATGGAAGGAGTTTCGTAGCTCGAAATTGGAAATAGACACATGACGATGATTTGGTAAATTCAAACGAAATTCTCAAAGTTTCCGTCGTACGTGACGCCACGACTGACGCAAAATCACGTACAACGACAACGCTATTTTCGGCATTTCTGACTGCTTCTCGCGGTTACAACGAAAACATAGAAATAAATAACAATATGCGCATAGTAAGAACGTTTCTGATTACTTATATCACATATTTATGTACAATCAAGTAAAAGGTCCTCGCAAAATTCTGAGTACCGATGTCAGTGAACTCGCCATTTTGTAACGGTTGTGATGTCATATGCCGCCATTGTTGTACATATTTGGACATTTAATACGTGATATTTTTGTTATTTATACACAAGTGTTATATTCCATATTGTAATTTCATATAAACAGGCTTGTGAACAGCGATTTCTCTTAATCTTATAACTAAACTGACTATATTATATCAAGAAAAAGGATTAAGTATTACATGTATATACACTCATTTTAAGGAATTGTCTTGTTATGGACAGAACAATGATGTCTGATGGTTCGCCAAGTGCTAATATACAAAATATACCAATATATTCTAATCAGTAATCAACATACCAAGGTCGTCTTTCTCCAACTTTGGAAAATGCGATGTGATTCAACTTGAATATATGTAGATTTAACTCCCCTGTTCCTTCACTCCGTTGAACCGGAAGCCGGCAGGGGTAATGGAGGCGAAGAACGATGCGATATGCCACAAATAGCGCTTAAAATATTGAATTAAATATATTGTTCGTAAGTAATTATTAAATATGAGGTTGGACATCTGAGAGCATAACCCTCTGAGGAAATGGGTGTCTACCTTTGATTGTGGCAATGTTGTATGTTGACATTAAAAATATTTTTCAAACCGAAGCGAGGGAAGCATGTTGCCAACCACTGCTCGCTTCGCTCGCATATAGAAAGACTGGTCATTTTTCTCTCTGTTGCGCAACCCTATTTGCCTGTGATCAACCAGCAAACTGCAGCAACACTGATGCAAGCACATGTAGCGTCTCGGTTGGATTTTTGCAATGCTCTACTTCAGGTGCTTCCAGAATATCTCCTGAGCAAGTTACATAGAGTCCAGAACTCAGCTGCCCGAGTTGGGATACGCACAAAGAAGACCGAGCATGTAACACCTGTTCTGATGACATTGCACTGGTTACACATCCGACAACGTATCCAGTACAAAATGTTGGTACTGATGTTCAAAGCCTTGCACAACACGGCACCAGTTTACCTCTCAGACCTTGTGTAAGAATATCAACCAACACGTCATCTGAAGTCATCCCAACAGCACTGTGCCAGACAGTGGTCAGCCGGACCAAGACATCTGGTGATAGGTCTTTTCAGTTTGTTGGCCCAACTTTGTGGAACAAATTACCCCTCTCTCTTCAATCAGTAGAGACGTTCAGCCCATTCAAATTCAGATTAAACACTCACTTGTTCAGCTTTTCATACGGACATCATCAGCGCTCTTGAGCAGTCTTCTTAAGACTGGATATAAGCGCTATATACATGTGTATATAAATGCAAATGTAATGTAAGATGGTTCCATCCATTTCTTGTAATTTGTGCCACTCCCGAAACGTATTCTGTTACAAAGCGGTTCTTTGTACTGGAATAGTTTGGTTCCTCTGGAACCCAAAATCACGACAACATATTGTGCTTACCCACAGCAAAGTCAACAGGAGGTAACAACTGTTCTTGGTTTACATTGGTCAGCTCGCCCGAATACACCCGTCCTTTTTTTGGCGTGCGCATGGTTTGGCAAATCTCGTGCTTTTCATGGTATCTGATAACAGCGTTGAATTCCTCAACATTGTCTTAAAATGCTATCAGCGCTGATGAACAAATTCCAGTCAGGAGGTAAAAAAATGGTATTTGGTATTTAGAAACAAATTCCATTACATGTAAGATTGTAATTTTTTTAACATTTAGTTAGTGGGGGCTTGTCGTTTTAGGCCTATTGTTGTTTCTGTTCTTGCTGTTTGAATGTCAGATATCATTACTTTGACTTTGCATTTGTTTTATTAGTGGGGAATAAGAACTGTCACATTCCCATCATACCCGTGAAGATCCGGGTTAGAACTGATCTTCAGTAACCCATGATTATCGTAAGAGGCGACTAACGGGATCGGGTGGTCAGGCTCGCTGACTTGGTTGACACATGTCATCGTATCCCGACTGCGTAGATCAATGCTCATGCTGTTGATCACTGGATTGTCTGGTCCAGACTCTATTATTTACAGACCGCCGCCATATAGATGGAACATAGCCGAGTGCTGCGTAAAACTAACCTCGCTCACTCACTTGCCCATTCCCATCAGCCCCTTTGTCGTATACCTCTCTGTCATCATTTGACGTCATTTGGATAAACGGCTTTCGTCATTTATAGCAAGCCATATTTATTCTGAATGTGTGAGTGAGTTTATTTTTTACGCCGCAGCGTAACAAAATTTGCACTTGAATTTACACCATCGGTTGACCCGTGAAGATCCGGGTTAGAATTGGTTACACATGTCATCCCAATTGCGTAGATAGATGCTGATGATCACTGGATTGTCTGGTCCAGACTCGATTATTTACAGACCGTCTCTATATAGCTGGAATATTCCTGAGTGCTGCGTAAAATTAACTGTATGTGATAAAATGTCATCATAGTTCAAGGGCGATGGTGTAATCTAGTGGTTAAAGTGTTCGCTCTTCACGCCGAAGACCCGAGTTCGATTCCCAACATGGGCACAATGTGTGAAGCCCAATGCTGGTGACCCCCCGCCGTGATATTGCTGGAATGTTGCTAAAAGCGGCGTAAAACCAAACTCACTCACTCATAGTTCATTGCACACTTTGACTTCCTTTGCATAGTGTTGTTACCACTGGCGAGTCGTCTGAAGAGATGCATGGTTGGTTGGTTTTATAGTTTTAGCGCGAGATGGGCCAGTACGAGGCCTATTTGCACCCAACACATTGACTTGACTTGACTTAATATAAATCACAGGTTATTACATCGCCAAAAGGAATCGTTTAGATAACATAAAAGAAAAGACAGCACTATTTATATTCATTTGGTTAGACGTATACATATATCGATTAAGCTCTGCTTCGTGTTACGGATTAAAAACCTTGAGTAATCAATTCCATTTTTGAAACATGAAATATTCATTCATTAAAAAAACAGTAAGATGACAGAGCGTTAAAAAGATTTAAAATCACAGAACTAAATCTGTCGAAGCCATTTAAGAGCCTGTTTAGATGACATCATATCTTCCAGATGCCGAGAAATCTAAAACTGCCCGTCCACGGTTCCATACATATTGCATTTCGCCCAGGAGAGTTACCTCCCTTAGTCGTGCAAGAATCCTGTGATCTCCGATTCGCCATGATTTCAGTATCAACCCGCATCACCTCGCTTTCCGACCAGAGGATGCAGACACGCCTACTTGACATTAATCTATGTTCACCTACAATTGATATATGTAGCTATGGGGTTGTGACAGTGATCACGCTCGAAACACTTGCAGCATCTGACTTTCTTGACAAGGAACGGCCTGTGGAGAAAAAGAAATATTTTATATGCAACAGGGCAATTTGTGTCTTTAGATTGGGAGACATACCAGGTTTTACTGCTATTAGGTGATGGTGTTGTATGGGTGAGTGTGTGGATGAGTTTGACGCATGTATGAATGAACGTATGTATGTGTGCAAGGATTGGTATGATTCTGCATGTGTGATGTATGTGCAATATGCATTTTGTTATCTATCTAAATGTTTTACTGTGATATGTGTCTCATAGGCCAAATGGCCGGATGCTATGAGGATGTTTAATCGTGTCATTATGTACTGGGCATTAGCATGTGACACAATGACAAAATTCTCTTCTTCTATACATTCACAAGAATATGCAAATATGCAAATAAACAATATAGACGCCTAACTCCAAAATGTGGTTGGCTGATGTTGGTTCAGGGTTATTGTTAAAACTTTGTGGATGTCTGCAATCAGCATATCAAAGCTGAAAATTCATTGTTTCTTTCGTTGGTTTGGTCACGGAATTTTACATGGTTAATTAAAGTGGATCAATCTGGCCTCAGTTTCTGTTGTTTGAGGTGATCAGAGTTCCAGTCTCCGATTGGTGTGTTTGTTGTTTAACGCCGCACTTGGCAATATTCTAGTTTTATATGGCGGCGGGACCAGTGAAGGTCCGGGTTAGAATGAGCCTTCAGTAACCCATGCTTGTTGTGAGGCTCGCTGGCTTGGTTGACGCATGTCATCGGTTCCCAATTGCGCAGATCGATGCTCATGCTGTTGATCACTGGATTGTCTGGTCAAGACTCGATTTTTTACAGACCGCCGCCATATAGCTGGAACGTTGCTGAATGCGGCGTAAAACTAAACTCACATATATGGCGGCGGACAGTATATAATCAAGTCTGGACCAGACAATCCAGTGATCACCAGCATGAGCATCGATCTGATTGTCTAGGCACGTATCACTTAGCAGCCATGTAACATGTGATGTTTGGGATTACACTTTCTCAGTAAAGTACAGATTCTTTTGTTTAGTTGAGTCCCATCCGGGATTCGAACCCATACCCTCAGAATCGGGCATCTAATCGCCATGACACCAAGTCAGCCGTCTAACCCGCTCAGCCAACACGGCTTCCACTAAAAAGGAAGTCGGTCGACTGGAAGTCTAGACTACGGACTTTGTGTACCCCTCTGACAAGTGTAAATTGGCACGGCACCACGGCCGAAAGCTATGAATACACAATGCCATTTAGAAAGTGGTCAAATGTTACATATGTTATATTTGGGATTCATAACATGATGGTATTTAAATGGTATTCATAACATGATGGTACTCTTACAAAATAGTAAGACCGCCTCCGTGGTGTAGTGGTTAGAGCGTCCGCCCGGAGAGCGGAAGGTCGCGGGTTCGATCCCCGACCGCGTCATACCTAAAGACGTTAAAATATGGTACTTGTTGGTCCCTGCCTGGCGCTCGGCATTAATGGGTACAACAAGGACTGGTCGGCTCGGAGTCAGTATAATGTGTCTGAATGGGGTATTCATGCTTCACTGCGGCGTGGTATCTCAGTGGGCTAGCACTATAAAACCAGCTTAAGTCTGGGCTAGTACAAGCAGCCGCACATACACATACACACGCATGCACGTCGTCATATGAGCGAAATATTCTCAACACGCATGCCCGTCGTCATATGAGCGAAATATTCTCAAGCACGACGTTAAACCCAATTTCACCTCACCTCACAAAATAGTAAACTAAAGAGAGGTTGTTCAGATCGACATTTTTATGCTTGAATAAACCTCACGCAATACCGGGGCTGTGGGGAAGCCTTGTGGTTAAGGCGTTCGCTCGTCAGGCCGAAGACCCGGGTTTGATGGGTACAATGTGTGAAGCCCATTTTGGGTGTCCCCCTGCTCTGATATTGCTGGAATATTGCTAAAAGCTGCATAAAACCATAGTCACTCACTCGTTCGATACCAAATCGTTTTGCTAATTAGTTACAAATGTATTTATCGTGTTAAGTTTGTCATAAGAGTGTGCATTTTGAGTTTATGCATCTGCAGACTGGCAAATGTTGATAGCAGGTGTTAGAGGTTTGATCGGCATACATGAAGTTGGTGAGTAAATAATGAAGCATACGACAATCCAGTGATCAATAGCATGAGCATCGATCATTGGGATGCGATGACATGTGTCAACCAGGTCAGCAAGTATTCTTGCTAAGATGACAGGCCATCTTGTCCCAATGGCGGTGAACGTGGTTTCCCCCACTGATGTTTTACTTTCTTTGTTTAACGCCGCACTCATCAATATTGCAGGCATATGGCGGCGGTCTGTATATAATGGAGTCTGGACCAGACAATCCAGTGATTGACATCATGATGGTCCCAAGCTTCAACTAAGCCTGTCCACTCGAACCCGTCATTCGCCTCTTATCACAAGCATGGGTTGCTGAATACCCAATTCTAACGTGGTCTGTATTATCAAATGATATGAGAATGCTGCAGAGAATAGTATTGCTGGTTGCGGCGTTCAACAACATTCATTTGGTAAAAACTTGTAATTGTGGTTCATTTGTAGGCCTCCTGCCCCTGGCATGAAACGACTGCAGTTTTAAATATATTAATAGCATGGAAGTTACATGGGATTAGATAATCCTGTGCCATTGACAGTTTACCATGATGCGTGATTCTAGTTTACGATTTACCTTGAAGTGCCCTTGCCTTTAAAAAGATCCTCTTTTTCTCCACCGTCCGTTCCTGCAAATCAGATGTCTCATGAGACACAATTGTCTAGGACTAGTACTCCCGACAAAGTGAGCGAGTTGACAACATTTTCAACAACTGAACTGGAAAATGTTTAAGCTAAACAGTAAAATTACCAGAAGGCGTCAACATTGTCCTAAGAAACTCGCTTTGGGTGTGTTCAGGATCTATTGGGATAATACACAAAGATGCTATTATTTAATTTAATCTATTTATTTTATCTATTTAAAATCTAAACGTTTCGGGATGTTGTGCTCAGATGGTGTTCAGCCTCGATGCCTCATTTTATGTGTTCAGATCCTAAACGTGACCCTAAACACATCAAATGTGTATTGGGTTTAAGATAAAACAAACTACTCTAAGTAAACTTTGATATATAGATAACTTTTATGTGTGTGCATTCCAAAAAAGTTTCGAGTAGAGGAGGAACCGACTGAGGTCTGATGTTTTCAATTTCCTTCAAACAGGGAGTGTAGGATTCAAACCCAAGACACGAGGATCCGAGACCCGTCAGCGGAGAAAATAATGTGTAGCAACCCATGTCTAGATATTTATGGTGGTATTCTCCCTTTCGTAAAATCAGGGGGCCGGTGGGGTAGTCTAGCGGTTAAAGCGTTTGCACGTCACGCCGAGGACCCGGGTTCGATTCTCCACATGGGTACAATGTGTGAAGCCCATTTCTGGTGTCCGCCGCCGTGATATTGCTGGAATATTGCTAAAAGAGGCGTAAAACCATAGTAACTCTCTCGCGTAAAATCAGGTGACCTATACACTCGTGTAATAATATGTATCTGTAATCACACCAAAGTTCGGTCATTATTTAAGACATGAGTTTCACTGGAATATAATGAGGTTAAAATATACAACAAATCCAGTAAAAAACATAAATTAGGTCCCGTTCCCCGAAGTGAGCGTTGCTAATATGGCCTTGTGGAATACGAATTTCGATAAGACGATCTGACCATGTGTTCGGTATGTCAGGAGTTGACTGAATGGTCCCCATTTGAGAATGTTTTCAGCTGGCAAATAAATCACGAAGGTGTAATCAATATTATATTTTCTAGTATATATAATTAGCTTGCTCGCGTTAACAAGAGTGTTTTATACTAACTCGAGGTGTAGTGGATTCAAGAAGGTCTAATTCTCATAAACATGGAGTGGGTTGAGTCAGAATGATTCTATATCACTCATATCCCAGCAGTATTACAGAGGAAGCACCAAAATGGGCATCACACTTTACACGGATGCTGGGATTCGAACCCGGGTCTCTGACGTGACGAGCGAACGCCTAACCACTATGCTACCCCACCACTCTCATTCAGATGAACCCAACTTGTGTCAGAATGGTTTCCAAATGATTTGATCTTAGTCTGATGTTATGAATATGCCTAGGCCGAAAGGATAATCTTGTAATATTTCTTTTGATTTTGCAGAGAAACACAGCTCTTTGGAAGACTCGATCAAATATGCAGTTGCTCGAACTGAATATTGGTGCGAGATTCCCCCCTTAAGTCGAAGACTTATCATTCAAGAAAACACTCCAGGTTTCACGTCTCTAATGTCAAATGGGGGCGGTGGGGTAGCCTAGTGGTTAAAGCGTTCGCTCGTCACGCCGAAGACCCAGGTTCGATTTCCCACATGGCTTCAATGTATGAAACCCATTTGTGGTGTTCCCCGCCGTGATATTGCTGGAATATTGCTAAAAGCGGCGTAAAACCATACTCACTCATTCACTCTAATGTCTAATGTCACCCTACACAAATATACTTTCAAAACATTTGCAATTAGATTTTGATTGCTATCATCAAAATCAGCAAGTAATTGAAGCATGACCCCAAAGCAATTCTGGTCCTTACCTCTCTCTATGACACGAAGAATGGATGTCGATTCAATTCTGAAGTGGCATGTACCAGGGATACTCTACAACATTTATAGTCTCCCTACATGTACTTACCAGAGTTAGCTGCTTCCTGATCTGCTTGCCAACCTCTTTATAAGACGATGACCGCGCCATGTAGTAGAAGAGAATGAGTCTGTAGGAAAAAAGTGCGTGTCAAATTTAACCAATATTGTAGTAAAGAATGTATTATAAACAAACCTACCAAATCCTTCAAACAGGGAGTGTAGGATTCAAACCCAAGACACGAGGATCCGAGACCCGTCAGCGGAGAAAATAATGTGTAGCGACCCATGTCTAGATACTTATGGTGGTATTCTCCCTTTCGTAAAATCAGGGGCCGGTGGGGTAGTCTAGTGGTTAAAGCGTTTGCACGTCACGCCGAGGACCCGGGTTCGATTCTCCACATGGGTACAATGTGTGAAGCCCATTTCTGGTGTCCGCCGCCGTGATATTGCTGGAATATTGCTAAAAGAGGCGTAAAACCATAGTAACTCTCTCGCGTAAAATCAGGTGACCTATACACTCGTGTAATAATATGTATCTGTAATCACACCAAAGTTCGGTCATTATTTAAGACATGAGTTTCACTGGAATATAATGAGGTTAAAAAATATACAACAAATCCAGTAAAAACATAAATTAGGTCCCGTTCCCCAAATGAGCGTTGCTAATATGGCCTTGTGGAATACGAATTTCGATAAGACGATCTGACCATGTGTTCGGTATGTCAGGAGTTGACTGAATGGTCCCCATTTGAGAATGTTTTCAGCTGGCAAATAAATCACGAAGGTGTAATCAATATTATATTTTCTAGCATATATAATTAGCTTGCTCGCGTTAACAAGAGTGTTTTATACTAACTCGAGGTGTAGTGGATTCAAGAAGGTCTAAGTCTCATTAACATGGAGTGGGTTGAGTCAGAATGATTCTATATCACTCATATCCCAGCAGTATTACAGAGGAAGCACCAAAATGGGCATCACACTTTACACGGATGCTGGGATTCGAACCCGGGTCTCTGACGTGACGAGCGAACGCCTAACCACTATGCTACCCCACCACTCTCATTCAGATGAACCCAACTTGTGTCAGAATGGTTTCCAAATGATTTGATCTTAGTCTGATGTTATGAATATGCCTAGGCCGAAAGGATAATCTTGTAATATTTCTTTTGATTTTGCAGAGAAACACAGCTCTTTGGAAGACTCGATCAAATATGCAGTTGCTCGAACTGAATATTGGTGCGAGATTCCCCCCTTAAGTCGAAGACTTATCATTCAAGAAAACACTCCAGGTTTCACGTCTCTAATGTCAAATGGGGGCGGTGGGGTAGCCTAGTGGTTAAAGCGTTCGCTCGTCACGCCGAAGACCCAGGTTCGATTTCCCACATGGCTTCAATGTATGAAACCCATTTGTGGTGTTCCCCGCCGTGATATTGCTGGAATATTGCTAAAAGCGGCGTAAAACCATACTCACTCATTCACTCTAATGTCTAATGTCACCCTACACAAATATACTTTCAAAACATTTGCAATTAGATTTTGATTGCTATCATCAAAATCAGCAAGTAATTGAAGCATGACCCCAAAGCAATTCTGGTCCTTACCTCTCGCTATGACACGAAGAATGGATGTCGATTCAATTCTGAAGTGGCATGTACCAGGGATACTCTACAACATATATAGTCTCCCTACATGTACTTACCAGAGTTAGCTGCTTCCTGATCTGCTTGCCAACCTCTTTATAAGACGATGACCGCGCCATGTAGTAGAAGAGAATGAGTCTGTAGGAAAAAAGTGCGTGTCAAATTTAACCAATATTGTAGTAAAGAATGTATTATAAACAAACCTACCAAAAAGAAATGTTACTTCGGACAGTTACGGGTTTTTTCAGATCGTGTTAATGACCACCCTAATGTTCAATATTAAAGTATTTAATAGTTCATATTATGATCCATATAATACTTAAATACTGAGTGTAGAAGGGTTCGAAGCAAGTGTCCGGATAAACAGGATTCGGATTAACGAGGTTTCAGTGAGGACAACCAATAGGAGAGGTGGTATTAGATCATGAGTTGACAGTATTGGCACTAACATGGGATCCTCAGGGGAAAGGAGAGGCAGGCCCCCCAAACACCTGGCGACACGTCCTCGATGGTGATACAGAGAAAGGTGGAACCAGCTGGAGAGGAAAGCCCAGGACAAGGGGTCTGGAGATCTATAGTGGACGTCCAGTGCCCCACGTGGGGTGGCAGACCTAAGTAAGTAGTGAGTATTTAGCAATATTCAAGCCATATCACGGCGGGGGACACAAGAAATGGGCTTCACACATTGTACCCATGTAGGGAATCGAACCCGGGTCTTCGGCGTGACGAGGCGAACGCTCTAACCACTAGACTACCCCACCAGGTGGGTAAAGGTAAAGTAAGGTGGGTAAGGTGGGTGGGTAAAGTGGGTAGGTAAAGGTAAAGGTAAAGGTAAGGTAGGTAAGGTAGGGTAAGGTAAAGGTAAAGGTAAAGGTAAAGGTTGGTAAAGGTAAAAGTAAAGGTAAGTAAGGTAAAGGTAGGTAAAAGGTAAGGGTAAGTAAGGTAAGTAAGTAAAGTAAAGGTAAAAGTAGGTAAGGTAAAGGTTGGTTAGGTAAAGGTAAAGGTAAGTAAAGGTAAAGGTAGGTAAAAGGTAAAGGTAGGTAAGGTAAAGGTAGGGTAAGGTAAGGTAAAAAGGTGGGTAAAGGTAAAAGGTAGGTAAGGTAAAAGTAAAGGTAAAGAAGGTAAAGTAAGGTAAAAGGTAAAGGTAAAGGTAAAGGTAGGTAAGGTAAGGTAAAAGTAGGTAAAAGGTGGGTAAAGGTAAAGTAAGGTAAAGGTAAGGTAAGGTAAAGGTAGGTAAGGTAAAGGTAGGTAAGTAAGGTAAAGGTAGGTAAGTAAGGTAAAGGCAGGTTAGGTAAAGGTAAGTAAGGTAAAGGTAAGTAACAGTATTAGACAAATAGACTACCGCACATTAGAGAACCGATACAGTAGTGAATAAGTCTGTCTTCCGGGCCGAATATATATATTATCACTGAATACAACGCAAGTCCTGATTGCTTCAGGTTTAGAGTTCCCGAAGATTATCTGGGCTCTATTTTGATTTTACGGGGAGGAACGAGAAGGGGGATCCGTGGATTTTGGGTGGTAGATATGTATTTTGAAATAAAATAAGCGTTAGTCTGATATTGAGGGAACAGTTGGGATTCCGCCTTAAACAGTATAAGGTCATTTGGAACAACCGCATGACATCTCAATGTCGTAGCTTGGTCAACAATAAATTGGTTGGTTGTTGTTTAACGCCGCGCTCATCAATATTCCAGTTATATCACGGCCGTCTGTAAATGTTCTGGACCAGAGAATCCTGTGATGAACAGCATGAGCATCGATCTACATAATTGGTCCAAAAGCCAGACCCCCTAAATGGTGAAAATGTGGTGCAGTTCTGGCGACTGAAAGGGATGTGATTTTTCACAATCAGGAATGATTTAGCTTTGATTTAAAGCCGGTTGTCATTAGCTACCGTGCGTGACTACCATACAGGGGCCCTTTTAAGGTGAACCATGTCATCTACGTAAAAGTACCCCGGCTTATGTTTTGCAGCGAGACGGGACGCCTGCCTTTAAGTATTATTGTCAAAAAAAAAAGGTATTATCGCATTGGTGTTAAATTTTAGATAATGAAAACCAAAATAAACTTACACGTAAAGTGTACACTAAATTATTAACAGTTGACAATTGTACTGAAAACCAGCCAGCTTGGCTACATTGTGATAGAATTTTTTTTAGACTAATGTGGTTTATCATATATCTAGTCTAATCAGAATTATATTCTAACAGATCAGTGTATAACACAATGGCAAGGTCAAACATCTGTATCGTTTAAAGGTAAAACATGTGATTTTGGGTGCTGAAGACTACATTTTATTACCAGTTTAACCAACCTCTTTTGAAGTTTAGATACTAAGCTTCCTGTTGAAGTAGGACGCTGACATCATATGCCATTTAATGACAGAAAGTGTTTGATGTGTAACTCCGGTGAAGTGGGTGATGAGTACCACTATATTTTTTATTATAATTCTTTGTTAGCAGATAGAAACAAGTTATTACCAAAGTATTGTTGTACAAGACCTAATTACTTTAAATTGCATAGTCTTTTTATGGAAAGAAATTACACAGTTGTTGTTAAGTTAAGCAAATATATTTCAAGTGTTTATGTAAATCTTTCAAAACTTCAATGATATTGCCTCGTATCAATATTTCATTATTCATGTATCACTGTATAACTGTCCTATGTACCACTGTGAGTGGTTTTGGTGAATAAATGAACTGAACTGAACTGAACTGGAAACATAGATCTGAGCAAGCACAAGCTTTCCTTCATTGAACACACGCTGTGCTGATCACAGCCGGTGACTATGCAATCTCTGCTGGAATCTCTGCTGTTGACGACAGCTGGCATGGTTGGGTTCATCTGGGCGAGGTCTGTCAGTATGTTTATACGAATACAAGGCTATGTAGTACTATATCTAATGTGTCTTGCACATCTGCCAATGAATGTGCCAATTTCTGTGCGTGTATTGAATAGCTGATAGTGATTATATGTAAATTGACAATTCCTTCTGTGAGGTGCGACTTATGCAGAAACCAGTTGATAGTGTGTTGCCATTAATAGCATTGGGATTACCGACAATCCTTATCATGAGACAGACTATCCATTCTCACAGGTTCCCAAATATGTTGGACCCGTAAAAATGTGGGTTAGAATGGCTCTTCAGCAACCAGATACATAAGAGTGATTATGTGTTCTCATTTACTTGTTTGATGCACGCGATCGTATCCCACTTTGCAGACAGACAGACAGACAGACATTTTATTCCAGTACCAAGGCCATTGGCCCAAAATACAGTCATGGATTAACTTTCACAATCCGCGCATTAATACACAGTAGAGTCCATGAATTATTCCCACTCTCCTACCCAGAGTTCCATGCGGCAAGCCAGCATAGCACCTCTGCCACAGGCCAGAAAGATGTGACGATTCGTCACATCTTGCACCGTTCATTCAATATAATGTACATATTTCTTAACACTTTTATTTTTGACGAGTCTACACATCTAATTAAACATCTTTGATAGAATGGTTTAGTTTCACTGACAAAATATCCTAAAACATGTAACATAATTTCGATTTGCTCAGCGATCGTTTGTTTACATAGGTTGTACGGCTCCACGTGCTGTCATCGACGCCGACAGAGAGCAAACGACGCAGCCAGTTTGATATCTAAAATATGTACGGTCATAAATCTTACTGTCGCAGTTGTGGAAGAATATACACGTAACAATGTCAAACATTGTGAAGAGCGCGCCGAAAAGCTTGCGTAAGGCCAGTCTCTTCTTATTTTTAATTTGCGCGTTTGTTTACAAACAAGAGAAACGTCCGGTCACGTGATATGCAAATTAGCCTGTGGCAGTGATGTTATGCTGCGCCGGAGTGTGAATTATTCCATGCAAGAGTTGTCATGTATATGGATTTACATATCACATTTTACGTGAAAGGGCAATTCTAAGTTTATTGATTATTGATTGTTAGCAACAATATTTCACGTCTCATTAATTACTGTTATTCATATTATTACATATATGACCATAATCGATCATCCCCTGGTCTGCGTCGGTAATAACGCTCATCAGTCCCGTGTCCGGGCAACATCGTCGTCGTAGATTTATAATTTGAAATTATATCTATTAAAACTGGATGAATAATGATATGGTAACCCCTCTTTAAGCAAACAACTACTTTAATCTAACCTTATGCAATTGATACATGAATAACCATAAACATATACTTGACAAAATAAGTTAGGGATATTGGTATTTTTATGATTGATATGTTATCAGTGTGTCAATGAATAAATAGATCATTATTCATAATTTCAAAATTTATGTATATTCCTAACTATTTTTGTCCAGTATAGTTTTCATGGCACCAATCAACCATTTTGCAAATCATGGAACGAGTCATTGACAAATAAACAGCACCTGTCAATAGCAGGTATGGGATCCACAAGGCAGGTATGGGATTCAGTATGCAATGACATACTGAAACCTAGGATCCATGCTAACAATAAGCTTAGATATTTAAACCATTTTTGACCCCACATAGTTTTCTGTTGAATTCATGATTTGATCCTTAGCAAAGTGTGAATAGTATATGTGTGTCTGCATTTGCACCGTGATTTCCTATCATTTAAGCCCATGCGAAATTAAGTCCAAGGGCCTAAAATTGGGATTTTCCCCCGTTTTAAGTCCATGGCCCTAAATTAAGATTTGAAAGGTCTTGTTCGTGTTTGAAGTTGAAAGATTTCATAGAAGTTTCTTGAAACTTAAAAAAACAAACAAACGTTGTATTAATTTATTCGAACTTTTTGATTAAATATTGTAATGTAAGTACGTAATTTATTTGTAATAAATTATATGGTAGCTTCCCTGATAGTCAGTATTATTGAGAGGAATGCATTATATTTTTTTAGAGAAGTGTGGTGTAATATGGTTTTATAATATGAATACCAAAGGCGTTATTTTTCATTATGAACCGGGGCTTGAATTCCCGGTACTGTCAGTCAGCTTGGCATTCCGGCTGATGGTGTACGATGGACCACGAGCAGGATGTACTCCTCAGCTCTACTCACGTCATGTCCGAGCGGGGAAGTCCGCTCATCATTATCTTTGTGTTGCCGGAGAGCGGAAGGTGGCGGGTTCGATCCCCGACCGCGTCATACCAAAAGACGTTAAAATTTGGTACTTGTTGGTCCCTGCCTGGCGCTCGGCATTAATGTACAACAAGGACTCGACCGGTCGGCTCGGAGTCAGTATAATGTGTCTGAGTGGGGTATTCATGCTTCACAGTGGCATGGTATCTCAATGGGCTAGCACTATAAAACCAGCTTCGGTCTGGGCTAGTACAAGCAGCCGCACATTCAACCTCACCTTTGTGTTGCCTGTTCGGCTATTCTGCTGGTGTGTATTTGTTTTATGCTGAGTATTAAACGTTCGTGTCAGTGATTTCGATGTTGACTTTGTTTCTCACAAGAGCTGGTTGTCTTATAATGTATGAGCCCTCCACGTGCAAGAAATACTAGAATGAATAAAAAGACTACATCGGGATACTTTCTGGTGATACAAAAATCGTTGACAGGGGGTGAGACAAAGACCATGGAGACAACCAAAGTCGGGGACATGTGAATCAGACCAGACAATCGCGGGATTCACACCATGAACATCGAACACGTGACACTAGTTATGTTTTTCCAAGAATCAATAGCTACAACTGATTGGAAAGATTTGACCCTACATACCAGCAACTGTGTTAGCGAGATTGTTACCATTTAAGGAACTATAGGAGCGACTGTGGTTATACGCCGCTTTTACGCAATATTTTGCAGTATTACGGCAGGGGATGACGGAAAGGGGCATTAAACATTGTACCCATGTGGGAAATTGAACCCGGGTCATCGGAGTGACGAGCGAACGCTTTACCCCTTGGCCGCCACACCGTCACTATAGCTTTATAGAACCATGTCCTTCCATTTGACCATAAAAGCCAATACTTCAAGCATATCATTCGATTGGTGGAAAAAGCGATGAATTTGAAATTATACATTCGCCAAAATTTCCGTAAAGTTAACGTTTATCGCTTACCTTATAGTTTTGTTATTATTTTGTTTTTTGTTGCTTAGCGACACACACAATAGTATTCCAGCATTAATGGTGGGCTGTAGGAAAAGAAGTCTGGATCAGATGATCCAGTGATTGGCATCATAAGGATCGATCTTCGCTAATAGAGTGAGTTTAGTTTTACGCCGCCTTAAGCAATATTCCAGCAATATCACGGCGGGGGACACCAGAAATGGGCTTCACACACTGTACCCATGGGGGGATTCGAACCCGGGTCTTCACCGTGACCAGCGAACGTGTTAACCTCTAGGCTACCCCACCACCCTCGCAACTGGAATACGGTTACATATCCCAACCAAGTCAGTGGACCATACCACCCGATCACTGCTTAAGTCAAGCATTGGTTGCTGAAGACAAGTTCTAATCCGAATCTTTACGGTTTGGTTGTTATCATAAACAATATTATGTGTATAACTCACAGCAGGAGTATAATGACGGCGATAATGACAGAGGGTGTTGCAATGTAATCCAGAGCGTCTTGTAGCCAATCAGGGAGGTTTCCCACACGTGAGGCGATGACGTCATAAACATGTCGCTCCAGCTGAAACGGACCACAGTCATCGGATGGCTGAAGTCTGAAAAGTGAGTAAGTGAGTGAGTGAGGTAGTTGGGTATAACGCCGCTTTGAACAGTTTTCAAATAATATCACGGCGTGTGTGCTTTGTGTGGGAGGGAAGCCCGAAATTTGAGGAGTAAGTGAGTTTAGTTTTACGCCGCTTTTAGCAATATCACGGTGGGGGACACCAGAAATGGGCTTCTCAGACTGTACCCATGGAACCGAACCCGGGTATTCGGCGTGACGAGCGAACGCTTTAACCATTATGCTACCCCAACGCCCACCTCTTTGAGGAAAACCCAAGAGGTCGAGAAACATACTTATGGCGTTCATATACACAAATCCCACTACACCATATACGTTTTCCCGTATAAAATAAATCAAACGTTGTGTTCTTGTGTATGATTAAGTTGATGCACACGTACAACTTATTAAACATGCTACGCCGAATTGATATTACTTTCGGATCCGCGTTATCAGTAGTCAATGCTCATACGTTTGTCTTTCAGTGAGCTGCAGGAACGCATTAATTTCGGATTTCCAGTGGAATCAGAAATTTACGAAATATTGAGCAAGCTTTGTCAGCGCTGATAGCTTGGATCCGAAGTTTAAAAAACTGACATCCTTAAGAAAGTTGGATCCGATCGATGTCGGATCCCGCACCGTCTCGCCGAAGGATCCGATCTTTAGGACAGTTTTGCTGCCAATTTCAACATTCAAGATTGACAACGCGAATTTCTTAAGAAAAAACCCAATACGGTCTGAAGAAACTAATGTTAGTTTTGTTTTTTTATGAAGAAAAAGCTATGACGTCATCTGTTTTGAAAATATTATTCACACCTACGTTTCTCTGGTGATAGTTTTTACACTTTAGATACTGTTGTTTGCGTCACAAACATGTACACACCTATCAGTTACCTTACACAATCAGTTACCTTAACATTATTACTGCATAAAGAATATCTGATTCAACTGATAACTTGTGCTTGCATCTGTATCAGTGTCCTCCACCGTTTCTGAAAAGAATTCGAGTTGATCCATTTCTGAACAGCGGGAAAAAGCCTCAATGGAGTTTTGAGCAGATATATTGTTGTGTTTTCGTCTTCATTTGAAACAGATTTTGATCGTTAAATTTTCATATACGACATGTGGAATTGTGAACATCCAGCGTAAACCTTCCCAGTCATCTCATGTGAAATTCACTGTTCAGATCCCTTCGGTGCGCCAGTAACTAGTAATACTCATGAGTTCGAATCTCCGTTCGCCCTAATGTAGGTTTGAATGTGTTCCGAGTCGGTGTGTTTTTTGGGCTGATAATCCTAGAGCACACAAGTATATTACATGGTCCCTAAAAGTACTCAATGACAGTGAATTTATATATCCAAGGACACTCAAATCAAATAAATGGTAGGTCCATAAATGTTGGTCGGTTTGTTGTTTAACGCCGCACTGAGCAATATTCCAGCTATATGACGGCGGTATGTAAATAATAGAGTCTTGACCAGAGAATCCAGTGATCAACAGCATGAGCATCGATCTATGCATATTGGTCTACGATGACGTGTAAAAAAACCCAACAAGTCAGCGAGCCTGACCACCCGATCCCGTAAGTCGCCTCTTACGACAAGCATGGATTACTGAAGATCAGTTCTATACCAGATCTTCACGGGTACCATAAGTGTAGTCTATGACGACGTACCCATGGACACACAAGAACACTAAATGTTAAGTTTCTAAACGTACTCAATGACGGCGTATCCCAGGGGGAAGAGAGCGAAAAAGAGGTTGAGAAGTAGAATAAACATGTAGAAGTTCCCGGATCTCGAGGCTCGGAACACCTTTCTTGGCGCCACGTAGCACGTGCGGGCAATGACATATTGGAAGTAGAAGAGGATAACAAGTTTGACCACGCCCGCCAGTGCCAGGAATGGACTGAAGTAGAGACCCAGCCAGACCAGAGCTTGACCATAGGTCAGATCCAACACACCAGAAGCTACGTCCATCTCGCGATACTGTACAACACAGAGGCAACACAGTTAAGTGAGACAGTGTCAACTGTTAACTACAGGTGTGGGTGAGACGGTGACGTCGTGTTGAGCAGACATGAGGATGAAAGGGCGCCCTCGTGATGTGAAGACATGAGGATGAAAGGGTGTCCTCGTGATGTGTAGACATGAGGTTGAAAGGGTGCCCTCGTGATGTGTAGACATGAGGTTGAAAGGGTGTCCACGTGATGTGTAGACATGAGGTTGAAAGTGTGTCCACGTGATGTTGAAAGGGTGTCCACGTGATGTGTAGAGATGAGACTGAAAGGGTGCCCTCGTGATGTGTAGACATGAGGTTGAAAGTGTGTCCACGTGATGTGTAGACATGAGGTTGAAAGTGTGTCCACGTGATGTGTAGAGATGAGACTGAAAGGGTGCCCTCGTGATGTGTAGACACGAGGTTGAAAGCGTGTCCTCGTGATGTGTAGACATGAGGTTGAAAGGTGCCCTCGTGATGTGTAGACACGAGGTTGAAAGGGTGCCCTCGTCATGTGTACACATGAGGTTGAAAGGGTGTCCACGTGATGTGTAGACACGAGGTTGAAAGCGTGTCCTCGTGATGTGCAGATATGAGGTTGAAAGGATGCCCTCGTGATGTCCAGACATGAGGCTGAAAGGGTTCCCTCGTGCTGTGCAGAAATGTGGGTGAGACGATGTCCTAGCAAAGTCCACATATGTGGGTGAGACGATGTCTTAGCATAGTCCACATATGTGGGTGAGACGATGTTCTAGCATAGTACACATATGTGGGTGAGCCGATGTCCTAGCATAGTAGACATATGTGGGTGAGACGATGTTCTAGCATAGTACACATAGGTGGGTGAGACGATATCCCAGCATAGTAGACATATGTGGGTGAGATGATGTCTTAGCATAGTCCACATATGTGGGTGAGACGATGTCCTAGCATAGTACACATAGGTGGGTGAGACGATATCCCAGCATAGTAGACATATGTGGGTGAGATAATGTCTTAGCATAGTACACATATGTGGGTGAGACGATGTCCTAGCAAAATACACAAATGTGGGTGAGATAATGTCCTAGCAAAATACACAAATGTGGGTGAGACGATGTCCTAGCATAGTCCATATGTGGGTGAGACGATGTTCTAGCATAGTACACATAGGTGGGAGAGACGATGTCCTAGTAAAAGTACACAAAAATGTGAGAGACGATGTCCTAGCATAGTCCATATGTGGGTGAGACGATGTTCTAGCATAGTACACATAGGTGGGAGAGACGATGTCCTAGCAAAGTACACAAATGTGGGTGAGGGGATGTCCTATCAAAATACACAAATGTGAGAGAGACGATGTCCTAGCAAAGTACACAAATGTGGGTGAGAGGATGTCCTAGCAAAATACACAAATGTGGGTGAGACGATGTCCTAGCATAGTCCACATGTGGGTGAGACGAAGTCCTAGCATAGTACAAAAATGAGGGTGAGAGGATGTCCTAGCAAAATACACAAATGTGGGTGAGACGATGTCCTAGCAAAGTACACATGTGTGGGTGAGACGACGTCCTCGCATAGTACACATATGTGGGTGAGACGATGTCCCAGCACAGTACATATACTAGTATGTGTGTGAGACGATGTTGTAGCATAGGACACAAATGTGGGTGAGATGTTGTCCAAGCATTGTACACATATGTGGGTGAGATGATGTCCTTGGATCTTACACATGTGGGTGAGACGATATCCTAGCCTAGTACCCATATGTGGGTAAGACGATGCCCCAGCTGAGTAAAGATAAGTGGGTGAGGTCATGTCCTAGTGATGTACACACACTGCAGCTTGGTGTTATAACTGTCACAATGCTGTACACGCATTTGGGCGAGAGTGAGTGAGTGGGGTTTTACCCCGCTTTTAGCAATATTCCAGCAATATCACGGCGGGGGACACCAGAAATGGGCTTCACACACTGTACCCATGTGGGAATCGAACCTAGGTCTTCGGCGTGACGAGCCAACACGTAAAACCACTAGGCTACCCCACCGCCCCGCTATAGTGTTGTACGAGCACGTGGTGGAAAATGTCCCCAACCTGTTAGAGTGTTGTACCTGCTTTAGTGCTATATTCACGAAAACTGGAAAACTGGTGTCATTCACTCGCACATTCATTGAAATACCTTCAAGCGGCCACCAGACTTGACAATAACAGCTCGAAGAACGTCAAATATGAGTCCCACAACGAGGACGATGCCCAGATCGAGGATAAGCACTTTAAACACTTGCTCGCCAACCTCGTTTTCCCAGCAACAGAACTCCGAGGCGTTTCTCTGTGGAAACAAACACAGTAACAAATGAAAACAATGACCTGTGTATGTTAAAACACTTACAACATAATACTCTCTAAAGTTTTTAAGACGAATTTTGAATGTGCCCACATTAAAGAACCTTTTCGAGATGTAAATCTGAAATAATCTATGTTTAATCGGTGTTTAAGGACCACGGGTGACCCAGTGCTTTAAGAGTGAGTGACTTTAGTTTTACGCCGCTATTAACAATAGTCCAGCAACATCACGGTTCATTGTACCCATGTGGGGAATCAAACCCAGGTTTTCGGCGTGAAGAGCGAACGCTTTAACCACCTGGCTACCCCACCGCCTCAAGTCGTCTAAGAAACAGTTGCGTCCATGTCTTGACTGACGTGGTTACGATTCCCAGATCCGTTACGACCCAAGACTTCGCATCTGGCTTTTCTTCTATATTCAGTGGCATGACATGACTGAACTGGAATACTGTTGAAGCACCGGTACCCACTATATTGCACTGGGGTGAGTAGTATATACAATGATAGTCCGAGATCAATTCCAAGAAAGGTCGCTGTAAAGCTTTATTTCATAAATAAAGCTTTTGTCAGGCCCTTAGATCTCACCGCCATTGTATATACTACTTTTGAATCCCCAGTTAACTTCCTGGTCACTGTGACCGCGAACTTACACTTTCCTGATCATGTGATAGCTCTATGTCGTGTTGACAGGATACCATTAAGATTACTCGACAAGGTAAGTGTTAAATATTTTGCTTGGGTGGCAACATTGTGCCGTATGGTAGGACTAATAATTCCTCTCTGACGAAACCTCTCCCTGGCCCATCTTTCAAGTAGTACAAGTTCGGCTCGTCAGCTTTGATGTCCACTTTATCTATGTTGTAAGTTTTGACTGACCATGTTGGATCGGTGGCTCGTTTCCGAGTGTCCCCTTCGTGTTCCCCCGGCTGGTAGAGGTACCTCACGAGGGCCCTATCGGGTATCTGTTTCTCCTTCCCAGGCGATGGTGCAGCCGACTCAGCCACCACTGATTTCAGTTTGATAGCATCGGCTGGTTTCTTGCCGGTGAGACGGGTGGTTTCGTGGTTGATAGCCGACACCACCTGAGGTAGCCGCGCTACCCATTCCGTCGATCGTTTTCCCGGGTTGGTCATCTCTCTCTCGTGCTGGTGCCTGAATAAGCCCTCGACCAAAGTCCGATTGAATCTCTCGACTATGGCTTGGCTGCGATGGGCTCCGACCGCGCCACGCCTGACCTTGGTATCGTGTTTGGCTAGCAGTTGTGACACGGCACCAATGAACTCCCGCCCACGGTCGACTTGCAGCTCTGTGGGCCATGTCAGCGGACTGCGTTTGTATATGCGTTCGAATCCGCGGGCTACTTGGGTGTGCATCCTTCAGTGGTCAAGGGTTTCGGCTTCCTTGCTTAGCTGGCAACGTCAACGATGGTTAGGCATACTTGTGCCTCTTGTCGTGGGGTAGGAACAGGAGGTCGGCCTGGTGGACGCTATTGGTGTGTTAATGCCGAACTTCCTTCTAGGCACGTAGCGTGGTGCCGGTAAATAGATCTGCCACAGGGCTTGTTTTTCAAGCCACGCTTTGGCCCTCGTCCGGGGAATTTTCAGCGCCATTTTGGCCAGCTTATGTACGGGCGCTAGCTCCTTTCCAGTACCCACGCAGGCTGTAGTAAATAGCCTCAAACTTTCTCTGGTTCCGTGACATCGTATATATACACCTATGTTCTTGGTTCAATTTTCTCATGCCCGTACTCGTACGTGTTGATCCCGTCGATGGCTATCCAACACTTTGTGTCCATCGGCGATAGGGACATCTTGTTTATCGTCAGTCCGTATATCCTGTGCCCGTCGCTTCTAAGCGTGTTCATTTGATGCCTGAAGGTGCGGGTCTTGAACAGGGCTTCCTTGAATCTGGCGTGTTTGATGTGTTGTTTCACCACGTACTTCTTGACACCCTTCGCCTTTCGGATCTCACCGTTGTCGGCCTTCAGGATGGAGTACATCTTGGGTCTCAAGCCTATGTACTTGGCTATGGGCGTGCCGGCACACTCGTCCTTCATCTTGCCGAGCACTTTTTTATTTACCGTGCTGTGCATGGCATGGTCCTTGGGGTAGTCGCTGGTGTCATACAAATCGAGGCGTTTCTTCATGTCCTCGTACACGTCCTCGGTTCGAATCTCCATCAGCAGGGAATCAGTGTCAGTGTACAGCACTTCACACCTGTCGCCGTAATGCTTCTTGAGCTCGTTAAAAGTTGTACATCAGGTGTTTGGATAAATCGAGGATGCTCATACCCACGTTAACAGGCCGGTTGAATTTGATGTAGCTTTTCTTCATGTGCAGGGCCACCAGGTCGTCGGTGAATATCTTGCTCCGGTTGAATGCTGAGCTGGCTATCAGTTTCCTGAGCTTGTCTTCCTCTTTCGACCGGACTTGCTTCACGGTCACGCGTTTCCTCAGGTTCTCCATAGTCTTACCAAACACCGAGTTGTTCATGAGCTTGTAGAGGTTTTTCTAAAAGTCACTGGTGGCCAGCTTTCGCAGGTCCGTGTTCATTATGATGTAGGGCTCCATCCAGGGGCTCTGGTCGAACGGGAGCACCCTGTGTATTTTGGCCAGCCTCATACCCAACGACAGGTACAGCTGCAGGTTGCAATAGTGCACGATGTACCTGGTCTTGTTCATTAAGTTGGGCACGAGTTTTTCAACGTCTGCCACCTGCCCACCCAGCAAGTTATGTTGGTACTCGGACATCCAGTCTGGGTTAACCCTCAAACATTCGGGGGCCAGGGGTAGCTGTTGTGCGATAATGTGCAATGCCTAAGGGTATTCCAAGTCCACTTCGAGGATATAGTCTTTGTTCGAATCCGGCGCGATGCTCATAACATCGATCTCGGGTGATGCCCATTCGAATCCCCCTGTGGGTAGATACTGGCTCATGGCCCAACCGTACAGGTTGTTGGCGTCAAGGTAGAGTGGTTGGCTTGCTCCAGTCGTAGCCCTTCACGTTCTCATTGTTGGCTTTCGCATAGCATTTGGCAGCCATGGAGATTCCACCTCGCAAGCCTTTCTCAATGAACAAGTGCATGTCGTAATCGGTGAGCAATTCCAGCTTAACTCCGGTTTTCTTCAGCAAGGCATCCCAAGATAGACCTGGGCTGGTGTAGTACCATGCAGGGTCGAGTTGATACTGCTTAAAACACGTCCTCCTAAACGTCTCGAACACGTCGGCTAGCAGGAGTACGTCTGTTCTCAAGTACAGGTCGTGGTAGTCACCCAGATTCTTACAGCCCAGTTTATTCCAGACGTTAATCGCGTGCGAGTAATCGTCTTGGGTGATTGTCGAGTCGATTACGGTGGCGCACGGCCTAAGCTTCCCCCGAAGGTAGTCCAAGATCTGCAAAACATCAGGGCCGAACTCAGCGGTGAAGGTGATATGCCCCAACGTGTTAAAGAAACATCAGACAGTATCGAAAAAATATTGGCGACGTACCATGACAAACGCTTACTGGGTTTCGAATTTCCTGTTCGAGAACTGCGAGGCCTAGACGAAGCCTTGAAACGTGTACGCGGAGAACTTGTGAACAACATGGGGAAACTGAACGAAATTGATGAGCACATCAATCGCGAGAAAATAAAACTCACCGAAACGGAAGACCAGTCTCTGAAAACCATCATCGATAAACGATTGCGCAACTTGCAAGATGAGAGACGGACGCGGTTGGAATCCGCTTCCTCGAACCGGGAACAGCTTCGATCCCAGATCAGCCGCCAAGCGGAAACCATCATCGAGTCCTGAATGAAACAACTTCTAACAGGATCCGAATCCCTCGAGGGAGGCCCTGGCTCTGACTGCATTCGCTGGTAAAGCCGCCAAAGCCCTGCCCGGCATCCTGGCTAACATCGTCACCGTGGCTGCTCAGAGACTGGCTAAAAAACTGAAAACTGTCTGGCTGCTTCGCTGGTAAAACGCCGGCCCTGCCAAATCCTGGTAGCATCGCTCCAGTTCAGCACGCTTGCTAAAACTGTCGCGGGTTCGGCCAAAACCTGTGGGCAGCCGGTCGTCGCGCATGGTCTGGTGCACGAAGGCTAAGGAATTTTAACCAAATGAGACCCCGATCATCGACTTCCATCACCGACCCACCACCAGCTTCGTTTTACGGTCGATGTGCTGCTGATTGACGCCTGCACGTGTGGGGTTGGGGCTGTGGGGTGTTGGTTGAACCCTAGGCTCTGGGGTGGTAACGTAATACCCATCGCACCAGTATGTGTGAGTGGTGGCATGGGGGGTGTGTTGACATCGGGTTGATGCCCAACTTTTTGGCCTGCCGTGGTTCTGACGATTTTGTTGTTGTAGCCCACCACTTTGTTGATTCTCAGTCGCATGTCGCCGGAGGCATGTACAGTCCCACGCCGAACACGTAGTAGTCGACTTTCGACCGACCGGGCTTATTCCAACACGTCTTTGGTAGCGTTGGATGGCACCCAGTAGATCGACCGGGGCGGCGATGGCATCCTCGACGTTGGACACAAACTGTTTCTGCGCATCTAAAGCAGTACCCGCACCGATGATACCGAACGCTGCTTTGATTCTGACAGCTTAACTCCGGTTTTCTTTCAGCAAGGCATCCCAAGATAGACCTGGGCTGGTGTAGTACCATGCAGGGTCGAGTTGATACTGCTTAAAACACGTCCTCCTAAACGTCTCGAACACGTCGGCTAGCAGGAGTACGTCTGTTCTCAAGTACAGGTCGTGGTAGTCAGCCAGATTCTTACAGCCCAGTTTATTCCAGACGTTAATCGCGTGCGAGTAATCGTCTTGGGTGATTGTCGAGTCGATTACGGTGGCGCACGGCCTAAGCTTCCCCCGAAGGTAGTCCAAGATCTGCAAAACATCAGGGTCGAACTCAGCGGTGAAGGTGATATGCCCAAACGTGTTAAAGAAACATCAGACAGTATCGAAAAAATATTGGCCACGTACCATGACAAA